ATAACACGCCTACCAATTTCTACACTTCCCGAACTATGTACAAAAATGTATGTTCGGAACCCTAACCTAGAGAAAAAAGTTAGTTTTTTTATTATTAAATTTTATGACTATGCTGGGCTTATTACAATGTTTAGACTGCTGCGAAAAAAATCGTGACTTGTGTGTATCAATGGCGTGCATGCTGATTATGCTTGCTCGTTACGATCCTGAGCGAGCTAAATCTCGCACTCGGCTCGGAAACCTAGCGTTTCTAAAGCGCAACCGCCATACTGTTCGCCGAATTACTAATATTTCAGAAAAGCCTCTGAAATGGAGGTAAAACAACAATTATCTACTGTGCATATTATTTCCTACCGAATTTATTTTAATTGCAAAGTTTAGCTTGTTGCCAATGTGTTTTCGCAGTCTATCCAGCATGTGATTGAAGAAGATGGCATCCTGGCATCCGAGCGTAGAGACGGCAAGCTCGCCGCCATATTCAATATGGACCTGTTGGAAATCACCTCTCACTCAGTGAGTCTTATGCTCACGTCAGCTGAAGGATCCCAGTAGATAAGATGTTGAAGTAGTGTACAACTCTTATATAATATATTTAGGATCGATGCGGCTGTAGTTTGACGGCAAGGAGAGAATTTATCACTTGTGGAATCTCCTTCTCCTTGCCAAGCACTGCAAACAAGATCCCGGAGCTGAGGCCCCGCTAGACAGCGTTCAACTTCCTACTCTATCTACTTCAAAATGAGCAAACGTCAAGTTATGAGCCCAAACAGGGTCTCTCTTCGTGTCCAAGGATCATCGAGGAGGTTGGTTCAAGCTGAACCGAATGGTCGCAAAGGCAACAGTGATGACGGAGACAACGCCAGTAAAGCGTCTTCGGAACCGTCAAGCTCGCCACCGTCGTCACCATCGTCTGAGGATGCTGCCTCAATCAGCAGTTCTGCGAGCCCAGTGCGTTCGGACTCTTCGTCTGATAGTAGTGCGCCTGAGTCGAGTACAAGTAGCTCGGAACGGCAAAGCGGCTCTAAGCGAAAACGTGCAAGCAAGAAGAAGCGCTCTAGTAAGGAGAAGCGCGAACGGTCCACAATGAGGGACACGCCAAGCCTTGAAGTGCCCAAGCTCACTGGTGCTGACGACTATGAACTATGGAGGACAATGATCGAGTTAAAACTCAAGGTACAAAACCTGTGGTCTTTAATGGCCAAAGAAGCGGTCCAAAACAGCTCCTGGAGCTCTGCCAAGAAGCGACGCTGGAATGTGCGGTGGCTGAAGGCTCAATCTATCATCGCCGGCTCACTCGGGCCGCGTCTGGCCGGTCGTTACAGGCGGCTGTTTGTAAACTGCGATCCTGTGCAGTTATTTCAAGAGATTGAGGAAGAATACAACGCTGGTAGCACCGCCAAGAATGGCATTCTGATCAAGGCCGCGATGTTCGCGCGGAAACTGGTTAAATGAGAGCGTGTCGACACTTATATCGACGCTGTTTTGCAACTACAAGAATACCTGGTGAATCTTGGACACCCTCTTGAAGATGCTGAACTTGCTCGACTTCTTCTCACTAATACCCCAGAAGCATTTCCGGACCTAAGAACGGAGTTGGTTGGAGCAAGAATGAAAGCGAGAGAGTTTGAAGTCGGTCAAGTACGTGGACGACTATTGGCACGAGAGCAGGAGGAGAATATGCGACTTCCGGCCGGAGGTAATGTGTCTCAGATCGGTGGTAACGCTACAGGTTCTCAAGGTGGTCAATCCACTACAAATGCAGTTTTCCAATTTTCTACTGACGAAATAACGGAACGGATACAACCAGCATCAAGGGCAGGGGGAACCAGAGTCAAGTGAAGGAAGCCATGCAACGATGACCGTGTGCGAAATGTGGTAAACTAGGCCACTAATATCGAGATTGCTGGCAGAAAGACGATCAGAACGCAGGCAACCAGCAGAAGAACAATGGCGGTCGAGGGTCGTCTGGTCAAGGTGGTGGTCGAGGTGGAGGACAAAGTGGTGGTCGGCATGGCGAGTCTGGAACTAAGTCGTTTATGGCAAATGTCGGCGGAGTTCTGTCGGTTGGAGGTCCTGATGTCGTGGAGTGGTGTTTGGACAGCGCTGCGGCGGCAAACATCTGCAACGATCTCTCTCAGTTCACTGAGATTTCAGCAATTGATGAGGGTCTTGAAATGATGTGCGCAAATGAAAGTACTGTGGTTATTAATCAAGCTGGTACCGTGGAGTTTTCGATCGCTAACGAGCTGACAGGATGCTAGGAGAAGCGTCTTCTGCCTGATGTCTACTATGTGCCAGATGCACCCGCAAACTTGCTCTCGCAGGACTATATGCAGACACAACTGAACTATATCGTCTCCATGTCTGCGGATCAGTCGTTCTGCTTCTTGGATAAAGAAGGAATGCGCCTCAAGTTCGTAAAAGTAGGTGGTCTGTATCGATTGTGGTCATTACGGAAGATCAAGAAGAAGCAATCAGTTATCTGCAGTGCCATCGTGAGTCCCAGGAAGTCTGTACCCTTGTCTGTCTGGCACAAGCTGTTTGTACATGCAAGTGGCACGACGATCCGGGACATGGAGAGAAGAAAGCAGTTCACGGTCTGAAGATTGCTGCTGGGAAGGCTGACTCGTTATCCGGCTGTCTTCCGTGTGTTCACGGCAAGAAGGTCCGAATGACTTATCCAGAGCGATTGATACACGCGACACACCCGTTACAGCGACTTCAAGTGGATGTATGCTCGGTGAACGAGCTCACTATCGATGGAAGTACTGCTTTCTTACTTGTAGTGGATGAATTTCATCAGATACAAGTGGATATATCTCTTGAGGCACAAGAGTGAAGCGAAACCTCACATAATCGCACTTGTGAATCGCCTACATGTGAAATACCGAGCTAAGAACTGGCGAGTTGAAGAAATACACTCGGATCAAGGTGGAGAGTTTGATAACACCTGCCTTCACGAATTTGGCGCTAAGGATGGAATTTATCTGTCAACGAGCAATGGCTATACCCCACAAGAGAACGGAATTGTCGAGCGTTCGAATGGAATTGTTTTGCCCAAGGTTCGAGCTCTACTTCACATGACAAATTTACCGGAGTTGCTATGGGGGAGAGGCAGCGCAGCACGTTGTCTAGACGCTGAATGTTACGGCGACGCGAGTCCTACAAGGAGTGATACCTCACGAGAAATTCTCTGGTGAACCACCTGATGTCTCGTGCTGGAGGACGTGGGGGCGCTTAACCCACTACCACATTGCTAGTGGAGCGCGGTCCAAGAAGAAGAAGAAGAAGCTGTCGTCTAGAGTTGGGACTTCAATTCTTATCGGGTATTCTGCTGCTACTCATGGGTATAAGGTTTTGGATCTCTCGAGTGGAGCTGTGTCGACTCACCGTGGTGGAAACTTAACCCTTGCTGAAGGCTATACGGTGGAGCGTGCTTACATGGACATGTTGTTGAGTAATGCATACGGCCATGGAGACCACGATCTACCGGCGAAAGCATCGCTTGTGCCTATGCAGATGCAACTGGTGGATGTTGTGCGGTTAGATTCGACGACAGATAGTATTCTAGTGCAGCTCGACCAAACTCAAGTTGTCGTGGACTTGCCTGGTCCGGCTAACCCTGCTCCTGTCGTTGATCAATCCGCTACCAATGTACTTCAACAGAAGATTCCAGTGAGTGCTCCCGTTGGAAATGTTCCTGAAGGTACCACTGTTGCTCGGCATAAAGTGTCACAAAAACGGAAGAGAAGTTCACGTTTGGATAATTTCGAGA